GGTAATTGAGAAATTTCTCCTAGCAGCTTCTGAAGACTATTAAGAGTTTGATAACCGTCCTTTCTAATTTGCACCATTTGTGGCCTGATTCTTTGTAAGTCTATCTTATTACCTAAATAGTTAATAGAATCTCCTCTTTGTATATTTTCTGGGGCAATCTGTAACCCCCATCTAGGTAGAACTTCCTTCACCATGTTAAATATACATTCCAAAGTTTCCTTATTGGAATCTGCTAAAAGAATACCATCCATATAATGATAAACGAGGGATTGTGGAAATTCTTTACGAAATATTTCCAAAGGTTATTGTACAAAGTGTTGACAAAAAGTAGGACTATTTAGCATCCCCTGAGGTAAAACTTTCCACTGGTATCTACCCCTGAGGTAAAACTTTCCACTGGAATCTCCGAACGGGCTGTGAGTTATTAAGAGTTGATACTGTAAATGCAAATTTCTCTCTATCACTTTCTTGTAATGGTACAGTGAAAAAGCAGTCTTTCAGGTCAATTACTATGATTGGCCATCCTTTAGGTATTAAGGAAGGCAATGGCATTCCAGGCTGTAGAGAGCCTATAGGTTGAATTACCTTATTTATAGCTCTCAGGTCTGTCAGCATTCTTCGGTTACCTGACTTCTTTTTGATAACAAATACAGGAGAATTCCAAGGGCTGGTAGACTCCTCTGCCTGTCCAGCCTCTAGCTGTTCCTGTACTAAATTTTCTAGAGCCTCTACCTTCTCAGAGGTCGTATACATTGCCCTATCCAGACAGGCTCATCTGTAAACCATTTTAATGTCAAGGCCTTTTGGTTCCTCTGAAGGTCTATCATTTGTATTTAGTTTCTGTACAGTCTGGATGGTTGTTAACCACTTTCCATAGCATCTTACCCGATCCTTTCTACTATCCAGCGATTCTCTATAATTGGTATCTGACACTGGATGGATGTTAATTTGAGTTTTCCATTGCTGTAAGAGATCACGACCCCAGGGGTTTATAGCTATATTTGCCACGTAAGGTTTCAATCTCCCTTTCTGTCCTTCTGGTCCAATGCAGACCACCGAGCAGATACTCTGTTGTACTCTAGATAGTGTTCCAATACCAAAAAAATGTACATTCACTCCCCTGAGTGACCGTTCCTTGGCCCAGGACTTGTGGGTAATGATAGTGACGTCAGCGCCTACGTCCACTATCCCGTTAATAATTTTATCATTAATTTGTATCCCTAAGTGAGGCCGCTTGTCTTTGACTGAGGTCTGCCAAAATATGTGCTTTTTGTCTTGTCCAGTCTTACCTGATTCATTATCGCTAGCCAAACTACCATCTATGACATTGTCATCTTTCACAATAGACGAAGGACTATCTATTTGTCCTGGGACTGATTCTTTTCTACAGTTACTGGAAATGACCAAACCTTTTTTGATGTGTGGGCTTCTGGAGCCCCCCTTCGGAGTTTCCAGGCCTTAACAGGTTCCCTTGCATGTCCCTGGTCGATCTACACTCATTAGTCCAGAAGACTGTGTTTATGATATTTACTATGTTTGAACATCTCAAACATAATTCATCTCTCACTTTCAACATCCTCCTTCCAATATACTCTCAATCACTTTCAAATTCATCACATCTTTTTAACTTTTATATGAATACTCACATATAAATATAAGCAAACTCATAAAATCTGCTGATTCACTTAAAGGTACTTTTATTAAAATGTGTTTGGGTCCGATAATTTGAAACAGAAAATGTAGCAGTGGTCTGGTCACAGTAGTAGACACAGTCTCAATATTTCATGGGGACAGCATTCATAAAAGTAGCAAAGACCTCAAGAAGCACTGAATCCATGGGATCTTAGATTTTAAAAGCACTCAGAAAAACTGTGGGTAAAGAATAGCATCTGTCAATTCACCAATATAAGTAATTTCTTCACAGCCCCAGAATGTGCCACAAAATCTGCGTTTCCTGATGCCATGTCACATGATTGCATCAACACAGCTAATAGAAAAAATAATTCTTTGCTTTGTTAGGGTCAGTGTTTAGCTGTGGATATCTGCTTCAGCTTCCATAATCTACTGGATGAAGGCTCTACGATGGCATTTAACTAGTCAACAATTTCACTTAGAGAAGGACATTTAAGGAAGCAGCCTCTCCACTATTGCTTAGAATCCTTCTTTCGGTCATCATTGTGGATCTCTGTACAATACCCTCAGGCCATAATTGCGCTTTAAAATTATGATTGCTCCCTCTATTGATGAGTCTCTTTTCTTTCTCTCCTATATTCATCTCCCTATTCAAGCTTCCTGATTCCGATTTGCTTCTTCCCCCTCCTCTTTTCTCCTCATTTTTCTGCTACCAGCCTCTGCCATAACCCAATATTTTCCAGGAATTCCCCATTAAGATAATGAGCATTAGAAAATGGAAGCGTTTCAATGCAGCAACATCCTTCAATGACATCCTCATCATCAAAGTGCAGAAATTGTATTCTACGATGGCATTTAAGTAGTCAACAATTTCACTTAGAGAAGGACATTTAAGGGAGCAGCCTCTCCACTATTGCTTAGAATCCTTCTTTCGGTCATCATTGTG